ATTTTCACCAGAATATTATCCGGTGACTATAGCCAGACTGACTAAGACTGTTTAAAGCACTAAACCTCTTAATCTAAAATTTACTATAACGATTTCGTTCAACAAAGCCTCAAACATATAGTATACAACTTTTTTTCTATAAAAGTCTTACCATCTTACAGACAAAGCAGAAACAACAAAGATCCCTTTTTTCAGTTAGTTATAAATATTCCTTTTTGCTAATCTGGTCTGTAAAAATTATAGTCTGAACATTTCTTCTGATTGAAATTCAAGTTTTTAATAATTAAATAATTTAATAAGTGCTAAGTAAATAAAATCATGAGAAGATAAAAATTTTCTCATCTCAGAAATCGAATTTTGAACATGAAAACGCTCAAAAACTCAAATAAAAAACAACTTAATATTTTTCAGTTTAACAATTAACAATACCGCCCATATCACATGATACAACTAATTCTGTTTGTTCATTATATTCAATTAAATGTACACATCGAGTATGACCTAAAGAGGAATCAATATCATGTTTAACTATGAACTATCTAACTGATGAAATAAAATGTACCTAATTTTGACTGAACATGTAGTGGTTCTTTGACATTCAAATTTTTTCCATCATAGAGATAAATCAAAGGTGAAGTCATGACACCGATAGCTAATGTCGATAGAGGATCTTGTGGACCGTGAATCCACGAACATGTTAGAGGTTGATAATCTAATTAAACCATCGTTATCATATCAAATGGAATAATATCAAATATCTTCAATGATCTATCACCGGAACTTATTGAACATAACAATGTTCATACAATTATAAGCTAAATGTTGAATTGCACCTAGAACACAAATTTTGTACATTATTTTAACTTTAGACAAATACAAATAATAAATAAACATTCATACCTAAATGTGCTCTAAAATGTTTGACAAATGTTGTTTGTACATTTCTACTGATTCCTTTTGGTCCATTTATTTGTTGTTCTTTTGATGATGCTGATAGTTGTTGCTGTTGTTGTTGTTGATATGAAGATAGAGTGGCTTGTATTTTTACATATTCTAGTGTTAACATTTTCCAAAATTTAATATGACCATCAGCTGAACCAGTGATGAGAAAATCTGTTTTCGTTACCAGACAGTGTGTAACCACATCACGATGCATATATGAACGTTCATAATAATCGGCACACGGTAATGAGTCCAAATGTAATTAATCAAGGTAATTAACAGACACATTTTTACGAGGATACGATGACTGATCATCGGACTGCTGTGAAACAGGATCTGGCTGTTTGAATTCAGTAATTGATTCAGAACGATCTCTGATATTAGTTGATTCAGGTGAGTTTTGACGATGATGAGAAGAGACAGGTTTTGTTCGTTTTGAAGCAGGCGATGGTGGACGAATGGATCGATGAGACTGTTTGCTTCGTTTTGGTGATGAACGAAATGAAGTGGGTGAAGGTGAATGAGAACGATTTGAATGATGTCGATGAGAAGAACGATGATGATTATTTTCGTCTCTTAAACTCTTTTTTTTTGACGAAGGTAAAGATTTAAAAACAAACGACTTTTTTATAAAGTTTCAAGATAAATTGTAAGACTAAAAAATTAATTGACAATCGAATTTTTACACCACTGTTCCTTAAGTAACCTATTATAAACAAAAACAACAACATCAGCCTCGTTATATTATCGTATCTTTCTTTAGAAATTGACATATGTATTTTCAGAAGTATGATTATACTCGAACCACTAGGTGATTATGGTGTTTCAGTCAGGTTCATTATCCTCCTTGTCATGCTTGTTTACTACACAAAAGACAAAGATTCGGGCAAAGAGAAAATCATCCACTACCAAAAGAGACAATTGGTTGACATACACATGTACCCAAAATAAAGTTTTGTATGTTTTTCAGAATGTTTTTTGAATTAGTAAATGTGGAAGATATTATTAAATTGACTCTGTTCCCTCAGTCTAAATACATGTTCTTCCATGATCAACAATATTTATTAATAATTGGAAATAACAAGTTAAATGTTCGAACAGACGGTTGCGAACTCATTTTCAAAAGCAAATCAAAGAAAAAAAAGGATGTTTTTGACCACGAAACACGCATGTAAGACAGTTTATTTGATGAACAATCTCAATTTGCTTAGAAAATAAATAGAAGAAAGAGAAAATACCTTTAAGAAACAAAATAGAATTGCTTTGTCACTCTACTCCAATCAATTTGCTTGCCTTCTTCGGTCGGCAACGATCGTAGATAGAGCTGGTATAGGCAAGGTACGGCGGCGGCGAAGTCCGAACTCATCACGAGCTGCATAATCGTGTCAGTTGATCGTTGCTTGTGAAAACGTCCAACGAGACCGACCAAAATATGATCGAGTTTGGCAAAGTAGTAGAGCAAGACAAAGGCGAGAGCTCTCTCGAGCTGAAGAAGCTTGCGGAGAAGTTTGAACGTCGGCGACCGGTTTTGTGATACAGATGTTGATCGATTCTAAAAAAAAATGAAATCAGACCTTCAGAGGTTTTCTTTTTGATGCCAAAAGCTGGCCATAGAAGAGGACAATGTTGAATCATGACGATTTGACGAAACCGACGAACGGGCGATGAATCCGGTGTTTCAAAAACCTTTGGTAAAGAAGATTGTTGTCCACCATTACTCTTTCTTGTCTCTACTACAAAAAAGTACGTATATTAACAGGACTGAGAAATGTTTTAGTGGAATACCATTTTTGCTTTGATTTTGCTGCTTTGCATGTTTACTTTCAGAATTTTCTTTCTGTATATTTTCATTTTTGCACACGGTTTTTACTTGTTTTGGTGTTGACAAAACATTGGACGGACTGTCAAGTTTTATACTTGAAAAAATATTTGGTGGAGACATTGGTTCATTAAATACTGGCACTGCCCGTGCATTACTGAAAGGACTTATATTCTTTAAAAAATCCGTACCGCCGAAAAGGTCTGTGAACTTTGAAGATGGAGAATTAGGTAAATTACGTGACAAAGTTGCATTAGATATATCATTTCAAACGCAGCTGGTTTTTTCCCCTAAATTGGTGGAAATGTAAGATGGCCTGTCCGACAAACTCGTTTTTGCTACAGGATTGATCGGCTTTGATGCCCGCCGTTTTTTATTATATTTATCAATTCGACTGAAATATGTACTTCGTTGTTTCTTTTGAGCTCTCTTCTTACCCCAAGCCTCCTCTACATTCATATCTTTGGGTTTTCCCCTACGATTTTTTGCACGTTGGCTAACTCCGAATTTATCTGCTTTCAGTTGAGCCTGAATACTTCGATAGAGCGATACAGTCACCTCTGCTGGTCGCAGGTTTGTTTTTCTTTCAAAAGTTGAATCTTTTAGGATACCAAAATAGCATTCTACTTGAGCATTTGTTAGACGACCTTCTTCATATTTACCAATGTCAACCGGTGTTCGGTCATTCGAATATCGCGCTTCAAATTCGGTAAGTAAAGATGTCCATAAGGGTAAGTAGGCAAACCACTTATAAAAGACCAAAATAATCCGACGACAAAAAAGAGGGTTTGTTGCATTTTCGAATTTTTTACCATAATCCAACAACTCAGAAAGCTGAGGAAACCGGCGAATGGCTTCAATATTGAAGGGCGACTGATAAATAATTGCTTTACTACTGTGCATATTCTCATCTACTGCATCTAAAGGATCAATCGAGTCCTCTTCCACCTCTAAATCACAAGAACCAATCTTTTCAGGAGTAGTTTCATCGTCATATGGTGCTTCTAAAAACATCTGAAGAATATTCTCCGCGTCAGTAGCTTGCGGGTTACCAAACATGTGCAAAACACGTTTTAAAAATTTAAATGACATTTCAAATTCACCACAATTGATAAACAAGGCAAATACATGCATTACCTTTTTTCTTATCTCCTTCCCTACGTTTGCAGCTGACAGACTTCTAGCAAAGGCATTCATTACATGAGAACAGCAAAAGCGCAAAAACGATCGAGTACGGATTTCTTTTGCATCATATTTTCGTAAAATAACATTCCAACATCGTTTCAAATGATCATGAATATCTTCATGATTGAAAGTCTGCAAAATAGCATTAATTATAGCAGGAGAAAAATCTGTGACAAAAAAAGAAGGTCGAATAACTTTATCTTTAAGGGTAACGATATGTTGTCGAAGCGTACCCAAAAAATAGCTTATGCTTGTTGCCGTGTGATCAGCAAGTATAGCATGCCCTAGTGGAATTATGTTGGTTAGATCGTTTCCGTCTTTAAAAACAGCTGCATAAAATAAAATTATCTTTTGATGCGGCATACTCTTTACTATTGATCCGGTTGCGTCGATATGTATATGTGAGTAAGCATTATTCTTGCAATAACTGATATAACGTAAAATCTGTGCTTCTGATGTAAGGTGAAGACGAAACGGTTTCTCAGCCACAACTTGCACGTAACCTTTTATTTTGACGGATGTCACATCGACTTCTTCAAGTATATGTTGTGTAGCTCGACATTCTCGAAAATATCTTCGTCAAGTCGAAAATGTTTCCGGTAATCTGCTGCTGCATGTTTCAAGACTTCCATAGTCTCACATCCGGTGAAATTACGAACACTTAACATTTCTGCATCAGCATTTTCTACTTTTTGCTGAAATACTTTTAAGGGACCGATTGTGTTCGCTGTCTTTCCAATAAAAATTCTAAGTTTTCCAGTTAAAGGTCGCGCTGCTGCCTCTCCATCTTTATCATGCTGTTCGTCCCCAACGGATCTTATGCGAACAACAATACTTTGTGTCCCTATAGGTTCATCTTTGATAAAAATTTCAAATGTTCGCTCGCACGAACGATTCTTACACGTGGCTATACAGCGAAAAAACGAATTCTTTTTACGTGAACTTTCAACAACAATACGATGTTTTCTAAAAACCAGGATACAATGAAAATTACATGAGCATACTTTCTGATAAATTACATCTGTCCTAGCAAGTCCAAGGATACCAGTCGATAGAGCTCGTCGAGTTCTACTTGAAACCGGGCTGGAACAGTTTGGAAATGTCCATAAACGAATAGGGATAGATTTTAGCAAACATGTAGCAGCATTTTGGGTATATGTTCCATATGGTTTGGACTATAGCAAGTCCAAGGATACCAGTCGATAGAGCTGGTCGAGTTCTACTTGAAACCGGACTGGAACAGTTTGGAAATGTTCCTAAACGAATATGGATAGTTTTTAGCAAACATGTAGCAGCATTCACATAGTGTAAAATGGATATTTTGGGTTTATGTTCCATATGGTTTGGAGTATAGCAAGTTCAAGGATACCAGTCGATAGAGCTCGTCGAGTTCTACTTGAAACCGGGCTGGAACAATTTGGAAATGTTCCTAAATGAATATGGGAAGGTTTTACTCGAATATGGTGCTAACTTCACCTACGTGGAAATCGGTGTCACAAAAATCAAGAATTCATGTCGTCACTTCGGCTAATAGAATGGTATTTGGATGAAATGATCGAAATTGACGTTGAACGTATGCGAATGAAGAATGGCAATCGAATGATTGGTGCATCGGGGAACTGAGCATCTTTCGATGTTTACCGGTATTCTCTTCAGAGAAGCCCAAAATGTCAAACTCAAGTGACCTGAAAGAAAACGATTTTCAGTTAGAAACAAACAGTGATGTTAATGTTCGATTTTTTTCGTTTCAACATTTTTCTTTACGGAACTTTCCAGTCTATCCTTTCAAGACAGCCAGCAAATAAAAAGTCGAACAGACTGTTGATAGAGACAACTCACTCTGGATTGAGTGAAACGGAAAATTCATTGAAATAGTTCTCCGACCAGAGTTGACCGTATTGCATCTTCATCATGTGTGCAAAATAACTGAAGAACCGTCGAATCGATTTTGAGTTTGAGATGGAGAATTGTCTGTTGCAAGGTTGAAAGGGCAATTCGAGAATGTGATTGACCCGGGCCTTGGAAAGAAATGTACTCGGTGCCATTCGTTCATACATGTCGTCGATTTTCTGGTCTATTCGCTTGAGCTCCTTCTTGTGTGCCTTGAATTCCGTTCGGAGATTGCTAATATCTGTACGAAGACTCCCAACCATGGCACAAACTGCTTGGTACAGAATTTGTTGATCGCCGGATAATGCTGGATGTACGAAAAAGGAAGCATTTCAGAATAATTCTTTCGAATCCATCTGTTTTTTCCATTTTGATCAGAAACGCAAAAAAAGATTGGTTTCTTTTTTATTTATTGATCCTTTATTGTGAAGTCTTTTTGTACATTGTATCTCGCCATTTTCCGAGATGGTCAAAGCCGAGACAGCCTCACCTGGTTCGTGGACGACAACACTGACAATTTCATTATTATTGTTATCTTCATCTTCGATATCGGATGGTCCATCTGCTTCGAACAGTTTATCGTCAAGTCGATGCTCTTGAGCGTACTCTTCATCAAGCCACACACACTGATCTTGGACGGATTGATCGGCAGTTGTGGGAGATCGGAAGGATTGAACAGTGGTCGATGATGCATTCTCGTTCCTTGGATGTAGTTTAGGTGTCACATTTGTCTGAAAAAAAGATTAAGGATGCATAATGACCAAGAATGTAGTTCTTTAATGGCTAAATGTGGCGTTACTGCTGTCTTTTTAAGGGGGGGGAGTAATGATCAGAAGAATCAATCATTAATCATCAATTTCGCTATTGGTTTTCGTCTGAGCACTTTCTGTAGTTGGGAGATAGATGTCGCCATAGGCCAGTCCATTGGGATAACACAAAAAAAGTCATCTACGGATAATAAACCTTACAGAATATAGATAGTCTTCCCTTATTTTCCGTCCACACGAACCGAATAGTGTATAAACAGTCACTTTTCGGACTATAAATCATCATTCTTACTTACGGGCATTTATGACATCAAACATTTTTCGAAACACTTTTCCATAGAACCAATGAGATTTTATATATCTCGATCATAATGTATTGCTTCAACCCTTTAAAGCCCAATGGCCATTCAAATGGACATTGGTATTATTATTATAACAAACTGTGGAAGCATAGTTTGAAAAAACTAATCTTATACAGGTTGTAGAGAATTAAATTGGCTATCGGATGATAAAAGAATATTTTGTTTATGCTTTATGCTAGCCATAAATACGTAAATTTTCAGAAAGTTATGTCAAGAAAAGAGGTAAAAATACGCCGTTTTTGTGACGCTGCGTATGAGAGTTTTTTGTTCCTTAAACCACCTCAGTTAATGCACAACTATCACATGAGGCTATTGCTGAAACGCTTGCAACAACGTCCATCTATCAATAATCTACCAGCTAACTGGTGGACTTAAGAGTACCCAAAAAAACTCGGTCTGCAAAAATCAATCTGCAGTTTTTCTGCAATGCAGATGTGCCAAGATTTGGCCAAAGATCCGATGCAGATCTGCAATAAAATCTTTACAGTTTCTTTGCAGTTTCTCTGCAGATTCTTTGCAGAAAAACTGCAGTTTTTTGCAGATTTTTCAGCGTG